TTGGGACGCGCCTCGTAATTCGTTATATTTAACATGCTGTGGAATTAACGGCGTTGATCATCCTCAGAATCGAATACAACATTTTGCCTTCTGCTGGAGCAATGCTCCTTAAAGGCGACTGTGCCTGCAGTCACTAGACTCAAGGACGGCAAGTTCTGCTCGGTCTTACCTCCTCGTACTTCAATCAGGCAAAGGAAGAAGTGTAATTAATGCCTCTAGAACGGGTTCAGCTGCCTGTGAGATCACAGAAGATAAATTAACTAACTCCATGGACCACAGTCTCTATCGATAAGCTAATAGTCCTTTAAGAATCCTCCTCACAACCTATTTCATCACGTCCATTTTAATATTATCCTCCATCTACGCCTAGATCTGTCAAGAATTTTCGACTAAATTCTGTACGCATTTCTCGCCTCCCCCAAACATTCTTCATTGATTAAAAGATCAGATAATAAAACAGGTGAATAATTTTAACTATTTGGGGACTAATGTGTCGTACTGCAAAAAAGAAGGCAAATATTAAATTAAGTAAGTCTTATAGAATGTGAGGAACAATAAGCCGTACATTAAGAAACACAAATGAAATTTTACAAACTGATGGCAGTACCAGTACTAACATATGGCTGTGAGAACTGGGCAACCAATAGGGCTGATAAGAGGAAAATCGAGACAGCAGAGATGAAATTCTTACCTTCTGGATAAACAGCGTAGCGAAAAAATTAGGACAGAACTGAAGATTTTTAACTTAACAGATACGATATTTCAAATGAAGCAAAATTGGCATAACCATGTCCAAAGGATGCACGAGGAAAGAATCCCGAAGGCGGTACTTCAATACAACCCACAAGGACGAAGAACTATTGGAAACAGGCGCTATGGCCTAAATCCATGAAAGAATAAGAACAATATTTGATGAAGAGTACAAATTATTAAACTCGTTACGAAAATTTCTCCAGCCTCCAATTATTTTCTCCATATTATATCGAATATTACCCACACGGTGTAACAACCCCGAAGACCAAAATCCGAACCTCAGTCCACGTTCTTCCTTTATGGTCATAGACCAATTTTCAAACCCATGCAAAACAACAGGTAAACTTACAGTTTTGTATATTTAAATTTTTACGATCTTAGACATTTATTATCTATATTCGGCAAACGCCTTCGACTAGAGGATGTACATTCACAAACGTCTCTGTACCTGACACGTCACTGAAATCTGGAACCTGGAGCAAGCACTTTCACATTTAACTCGAAAAATATTTTCTGGCATTTTGAAATGTCTCGATTACTACTCATAATAACCTGTTTCAGTCGCCGAAGTTGTAAACATACGGACATGCTAGCCGTTGAAAGATTTGAGGTTTAAGCAGCGGTGAGTATGAAGATTTCTGTCTTATGGGTTGTTGCGCTGTGTAGTCTGGTCGATGTTTACCAACGTTTCAGAGGTCATACTGCCTCCATCATCAGGACGATGAAGATTTCTGTCTTCTGGGTTGTTGCGCCGTGTAGTCTGGTAGATGTTTACCAACGCTTCAGAGGTCATACTGCCACCATCATCAGGGCGATGAATGTGCCAATTGGGTGGCAGTATGACCTCTGAAATGTTGGTAAACATCTACCAGACTACACGGCGCAACAACCCTGAAGACGGAAATCTTCACAATAACAAAACTTCGAGTTCCATAAAAGGTGGGAATTTGTTTTGACAGCCAGTATTACATTCTCAACAAGAACTTTGATCCACGGAGTAGTAGTACTGTGGACTGAAAACTGTTCGGTTGCCTTATCAATTAGAATAAGGATTTCACGATGTTTACGCATCATTTCGCACGTTACTTTATCTATCATCTGCTTATAAGCCAGATAATGCAAAAGTCAGCAAACAAATATGCTATACTATCATTAATGGACTCGGCGTACAACACTGCCTCGTAAAATTTTATTTACGATCAGATTATAACTATCGACAGATCAGTAAACGTCGTCATCACGAAGAGAGTTTTACGTCATCGCAAATACGCAGACCTACATGTGTGTCGCATACGTAGACACACTCACTGCCTGACGTAAGAGACAGAACCAATTACATTTCAACATTAAAGCAGAAAATACAATCGAGTATCATATTTTAAATTGTCTTAGGGCGGTCTATAATTAATATTTGATTAACTAAGTTAAATATGAATGCAATCTTGATTAACTTGGCTCTTACAAATTTCAAAATCTTATCACAATGAAACTCTGGACATTGATTCAATGCAGTTCAAATTAAAAGGGGTCCGCCCTTCCTGCCACGAGATAAGGCACAATTAATCTTAACTGCGTAATTTATAAATATTAAACATCCTGTGATGCATACACAAGTGTTTTCAACATGTGGCTAAAAAACGAAACAGGATTAACATAAAAATAATTTGTTCGCAGAAATCACGTGTAGCGGATAACAGATGCATACTCATTTATATGGTCCATCTGGTTATAAACCTGAGGCAATATTAAATAGTAATAATGTTTGATACATTTTATTTATTTTTCTTTCACTTAACGACGCTTTCAACTTGTTTGATTAGATAACGTCTAGTAAAAGGCTTCTGGAAAAGCGGTCGTGGCTTACTGTAAGTTACTGTTCCAGCATTTGCCTGGAGAGACTGAGGAAACACCCACAAGAACTGCCAGGACAGTCTGTCTCCGGTCTGAATTTTAAGGCCGGGACCTCGCGAATATGAAGCACGAGAGATAAACACTCGACCGCGACCCCCGGACTAAGATTTTAGGTCACATGGCGGTTAATGTGTATATTTTGGTCTTGGTCAACGTCGCGGCTGACTAATTATCACCCCGAATGTCCCGGATTCAAATCTCGACCCGGAAGCATGCTATCCAGGTTGAAGCTTTTAGCCGTCTTCCTCAGTCATTCCAGGCGAACACAGGCCAATCTCATCATTCGACGGTATGTAGTCTGAGCTACTGGCTACTGAGGTTCTCACGGCAGTGAGTAGGAAGATGGCTCGGATGGGGGGAACAACTAACCCGCACGGGTTTCATATAAGACTAGGAATAACCTTGATTAGCTAAGCCAATGCTAACTTGTCAGTGACTACACCATAGAGTCGGCTCATTAAGATCACATTGTAAAAAGACCTATGACATTTCATAGCAGAATGGTGGAAAGTGAAAGCCATGTCTGAAAGTGTTTCTACGCAAACACAACAGATGCAGCCATCCAGTACAAGTCCCTGCAAGACCTGAAACGACCAGCTCTCGTTCAGTCGTATTATGAGAGGCGCAGAGTTGCTCCTCCTACCAAGGTGTCAACAGCCGGTCAATGTTGAGTCCGTGCTCCAACACGAATACAAACAAGCAGCAGAACGAGGCTCGCCGCTGCCTGAATAGGTTGCTTCCCTTATTTATCGACGCTTTCTCAATTACTTGCGTTATATAGAGTGCAGAGATGACGAATGGTGAAGCCCCCCCCCCCAAAAAAAAAAATCCTCCTGAAGTTATTTCTTCGGGACACGAAATTCCTCAGCCATTACAGGTTGCTTCCAGATAGATTCGAACCTTGGTCCTCATGAATACGAAGAATACCTAACCATTAAACCGCGAAGCTGAATTTGGAGAGTAAATGTGGAAACTGAAGTAATGTTCACGAACTTCATCTCCCCAAACCGCTCGACAGATTTTCATTAAATTTGGTAAAAGTCATCATACTAATCCTTACACATCCTATACAGAGCAAATTTTAAAGGAATCTTAAATATAAGTTTATCAAGTTCCTTGTCACTTTCGTTATCAAATTAGTTCTTCTAAAGCTTAATATCGAATGAAGGGGAAGGGAGTTTGTGGCTCCCCACGTATTTTTTACTGAAACTTGAAGAAGGAAATAATTTTTCCGAAAGCTACAAGACAACAGAGGTTGGACACTCACAGAGACCGTTTAGAAACCCTGCACTGTACACCTTTCAACTCTTGCCAAATATCTTGATAAAATCGTGAAAAGATAAGAAACTGGATAAATGCCCCAGGATCTATTCTAACAATGGGTTAAGATTTTTTCTATTCACCAGCAGACCTGCATGTTCAAGGCCAAGGATTAAACATAATTCGTCTTCTTACTGTGTGTGAATTTGGGTGATTAACAATGGGGCAAGCACACACATTACATCTGACTGCAGCCTTCACTTAAGAATTTGTCACATTGCGATGATTCACTTCATCACCTGTACTTTGGTTAACAAAATCTACAGTGATGACTCACATGTTACCTTTCTTAAGATCAATTATGATTTCTGATAGCAGATCCAAAAGCCATTTACAGGGAGTATATACACAGTACATAACAAAAATAACGTTACTTTCAGTAAAACTTGTAATCAATGTTAAGAGATACAAATATAAGAGATCTAAAATGTTTAAATTATTTGATCAGCCACTGAAACCTATGATATGTAAAACTCTGGATAATCCCCAGTTATCACCAAAATAAGACAGTTGGAGCACACAACAGACCTCCCGGTGATTCCAGAAAAAACAATAAAAGGCAATGTAGGCCTCACTCTAATATAAACTAAGTTTTCCAGCATCTTATAAGAACCATTATGTTATTTTATTTATTTACAGTAAATTTAATTACGCTTTTTCAGTACCTCAGGCCATTAATGTTATCAGACTACCTGAAACACATGTAATTGCTACATAACCCCAAAGCTGCATCTCTTGTCATACGTGACCGGAACAAACAAAAATAAGTGCAATGGCAATCATTCATAAGAAGCAAACTGGCGTCTAAAATACCAAAGAAATCTATCTGTATTCAAATATCCCGCGTCCAAGAACCCACGTAATGCTTCAAAAAAACAATAACAGTCTCAGTATCATTTATGAGAAGCTAAGTATGAAGGAATGAATTGTCACACATGGCTATAGGGCAAGACACCCATTTTGTGAATTGGAGTTATCACAGAAAATACTAATAGTGAATGAAGGCAATTACTTACCACACATACTGTCCTTGTTTAGCCACGTCGTCTACTGCAACACTCTGCGAAAGCACGAATTGTACAGAATGAACCTTATACTAGCACGCCTATGTGCTTTTAACTACACCGACAGGCACAGGGAGTTGGCAAATCTTTGCGTCGTCTGCTGGTAAAGATTTGAACGAAGATAAGGAAAGGTGATGAAAGATATTGATTTACAAGTGCTATTAAATGATGTGTTGCTACGTGAACACTATCACAAACGGTCTTGAAACCTATTCACTATACATGAAATAATTCTTTTATATCATTATTTTGACTCCACTTTGACCACCTTATGACGAACGCTTTTGTTTGTATTTGCACGACTATTCACGTTTATATGTGAGCACATAATTCGTTCACTTCTCATTCAAACGTATTTATAGATCACAGACATCGTAACACAGATGTTAATGAAATAGAAGAAGTTTGGCAATATTTCAAATTATGCCTTAGAGTTAAATGATTATGTTGGTAGCCCATCCACAGCCTTCTATAGCTCATTCGTTTTGTGCATGCCGTCATCGTCTTGTTAGAGTTTCGTGATAGCAGTGGTGGAGTACAACATACACACATAAAAAATATACACATGTTTAATCAACAAGAGATACAAAAGAATATATATGTATATACAATTGGAACTTCTCTAACCAACCAGGTGACAATTGCCATCTCATGAAGGACTCTATTCCTTTTGTGAACACAGTTATGAGGTTTGAGAACAATTATCTTCTGAATACCGTTAAATTCGAAAAAAATTAGTAGTTCAGGTTTTATATCCTCAGCGTTATTTATATTATTTTTTCTCACACCACGCCTGAAATGCTACGTTTTCCCCGACAGGGTCGCAGGTTGATTAATTTGTTGACATTTTCCACAAATTATAAAAACATACAACACTGTAACAATGTTGGCAACGAAAGTCTTGCATATATTGTGCTGCTATCTACCCGAAGTGGTGGTGAAAAAAACAACAACCACAGTCTGGTGGCAAGTTATTTGCAGCCATTGCCATGTGCTCAGTCGGTAAGAACGATAACTACCATCCAACTCCCTTTAATAATAATACAAGAATGGCTCATTTTACAAATGTGAAGATGACGGTCTTCTGGGATACTTTTTCGTGGAGTCTGGTTTAAATTTACTGACGTTTCAGATGTATTTACTGCCTCTATCATCATGGTATGTAACCTACTATACCAGCATTTGATAGTGCCAACATTTTTACCAAGACCGTGACTGCTGCTGAAGATGGCTGAGTTCTGGGTTGTTGCACAGTCTGGTAAAAGTTTACCGATGTTTCAGAGGTCTTGCTGCCTCCATCATCAGGGCGATGACTGCTGTGATGTCACGATCACGCAGAACTCAGACGTGCTGTGCTGCCACCTATCTTAGAAGTCCCCTGCAAAACAGATAAAGCATCAGCGGAGACAAGGGGCAGCGTGCGTCTTCAGAAATTATAACAGTCGCTTAGCTAGTCAAGAAATTCCCCGTTATTTATTAAACCTCATGCTCCGTTATCATGTTCACAAGAGCCTATCACTGGGTCTTAGCCACATGAATCCAGTCCACGTTCTCCATTTTAATATTATCCTCCTATTCACACCCATTCTTCCAAGAGCTCTGCAGCCTCCTGTTTTTTGGGTCCAAATATTCTGTTCTGCTCATCACTCTCACATGTTTTGTGTTTTCTTTTAATAAATAAAAGAGCTTTAATAGTCTCATGGAGGTAAAAAATGTAGATTACGATCTTCTGGGTTAAGTTGCCATACAAGTGGTTACCGACGTTTTGGAGATGTCACCTTATATTCTAAAAGTGGGCGTGACAGGTTAATCCAGAAGTTGGTAACCACCTACAAGATTTAATGACATCTTACCACAGAAGACCACAATACAGGTAAAACTTGAATACTTTAATTGCATGAGGAAAATCGTGTTTTTCTCATATGAAGTGAAGTCCGATCTGAACGCAAATTTAAAAAGTTCAACAGTTTTTCTCCAATATAAAATGTAATCAAAATCTGTTAATTAATTTTCGAGTTGTTTCATAATCATGGACAGACTGTTGAAGCAATTTTAACAGACGCTTCACAACGTCATGAACACCCCTAAAAATTATTCAGAACTGAACAAGAACAAAACATGAAACTCCCATAATAAAGCAAAGAGAAATATTCATTCAAAATACGAAAATTCTTGACGTCATGCAATTTGGTGATCGATATAAAGGGCTTATGTCGATCGTAATCTTATTTGCATATTTGTATATTTTGTAATACTATTACTAAAAATTTGTGTTCCACAGATTACGAAACTAATGCTTCTGAAACAAAAATGTAATTAAATGCTATAAATTAATCGTAACAATAATAATATATTAAAAATGTAATTTTAAGTAGGCCTATTCAGGATTTCAGAGTGATCCCATAAAATTATATACCCTGTAATATATATCGAGGGAAACTTTCCTCGTTATGTTTTAATTTCCCACTAGTGTATGAACACCAGAAGTATATTAAAAATACAATCTAATGACTTTCTAATGATACTGAGGCACCTTCCAAAAACTTTTAAGATAGACAATATCAGATTGGAGGGTTATGAACACAGCTGTTGAGGGAAGAGGGGGGAGGATAAGTAATAAGTCATCCGGGTCTCAGAAGTACCGTAATGTTTTCTGTTTGCTATAGGGACACACGTTAAACGTCAGCCAGCTAGCTTCACGGCAGCAAACGGTGTTCGACCATAGCGACATTGTTACGAAGACGTCGTCTCTCCTCGTTTCACCGCAGACCGAGAGAAGAATCCGCCCCCCTACCGACAAGGGAGCTTTTCAAGTTGCATCGTGACGGAGCCAAGTGCAGTTGTGTAGTGTTGTGTGACCTCTAATAAATGAATAACAATTAACAGAAGGCAGCAGTTCAACAATGACGGTAAGTGCAACTGTACTGACAATAACACGCAAATGCGTATATTATCGTCGAGGTAAAATACGCATATTGGAGTTGCAACGAGAAATAAGAAGAAGGCGAGTGATTGTTGTCCTTGGGTTGTCGCTGCTGGAGCTTTCGGACATGAGCAGCATCGAATGCTTTTACCGAGAAGGTGATTGATACCGAACATTCGACACGGCTCACATCCGAAGGTCAAAGGTACTTTTCTGAGGTTCATACACGTTCCTCGTTCGCCTGTCTAGGCTAACCCCAGTGCGCAATCCGTCTTCAGAAGATTCGGCTACTCCATATTTTTTGGGGGGAATCTCAAGGTTCATTACCGTGACCACAAGAACCCACCATTGGTCCCTGTCTAAACCCAGATGAATCCAGTCTACACCTCCACACTCTATTTCCATAAGATCTGAATAATATCCTACCATCTATATTTTGGTCTTCAAAGGAGTCTCTTCCCTTCAGTTTTCATAATAAAATTGTGTGTGTGTGTATTTAACAACAGAGTGGTGAATAACTTGACGGGATATGTTGAAGAAATAAATATAGTGTCGTTTCCGCCTTAGAAGTTTGTATGGCCGCCACATTGGAAGACCACAATTTAAAAGTACCAGAGCGGAGTGGTTTCGAGTGATATTTTGTTGGTGTAACTTTTCATGAAAATCCGTCAAATGGTTCAAAAGGTTATGGCGCGAGGACGTAAGGAAACATTATAAACCTGTCTTTCATTGTGAGAATAGATAAAGTATACTTAAAACAGAGGGAATAAGAGCAGAGATGAAAAGTACTTGGAAGGATTGCTTTTCTCAGAATGTAACTTTGAGCACCCGACTCTGAAGTGGGCATTTCTAGGGCGAAACAATTATTAGTACAGATAAACCCATTCAGAAAGTGCTTTCTGCTTAAATACGCTTTATAAAAGTTACACAACTTCGAATGTCGGAAGAATTATGGATTATGAATCTGCAAAGATGAGGCTGCAACTGTTACAATAGTTATGGCGATGACCATAATCACGTTTTATGACTTTTTTTCCAACATATTTCTGAACGTGTGAGGACACACACCAGGCAGGATAACCGCTCTCCAATTCGAGATTCAAACTGGGAACCCTTACATAATGACGCGGTTGACCGAGATAATCTGAGATAATTCATGACCTATGAGTGCGAGTATTATCGTTGAGGTAGAGATGACGATATTAAAGTCTGCAATGACCCGAGTTCTGACGCAAATATTATTTAATGTCGGTATATATGAAATGCCGTTGTTTTAGAGGATGAATGCGTGTCTTCAAAATAATAAAAAAAACGCATCGCGCACATTCTTACTAGGATAAAAATAATGTATAGGAGATGATCAACTTTTGTACCACTTTGTGTGGGTCAAAGATCAGCGAAATACGTGAGTCACTTCTTTAGCGGCTGTTTGGGAATGTCTCTGGTTCTTTGATAAGGGCTCGACTACGTGAGTCATACACACCCAAGTCGGCCATCTGCCTAAGACGACATTTTTTTAAAGGACAGTATCGCCTCCATCTTCTGGATTGAAGCTTAAATATGGGCAAAAACTTTAATAACCACCTACAAGAATACATAGCGTCAAAACCCTTGACCACAGTCGACGTAACTGGTCATTTATTTAATACTGTATTATATTGAATGTCCTGCATTTTATAAAAATCAGTTTGTCTACAAAGTGACTTTCATCAATAGGCTACATTTTTACTATTCCCTTTATTTGGGTTACATAATTGTAATAAAACACTCGAATGAGTAATTAGCACTTATGAGCTATAAAAATTACTTATCTTCTGGGACGTTGCGTCGTGCAGTCTCGTAGAAGCTGGCCGACGTTTCAGAGATATCATCATGCCTTTATGTTGGAGGGAGTAAGCACCTCTGAAATTTCTGTCAATTTCTAAGGGACTAAACGGCGAAACATCACACACGCCTTCAAACAACAGAATATTCTTTTCCCATGAGAGCTACATGTCCCACCAATCTCATTTTGATCCCCCTTAATAATACTAAAATAAGAACAAAAATTATGAAGTTATGAAACTTGTGATGTAAATTTATCCGTCCTCCTGACCTTCAGCTCTCTGGTCGTGGAGAATTTAAATAAGGCAGGAATTTTAAAAGTTAGTAAGTTAGCATGAAGCAGGACGAACGAAGTGGAACGTCTAACCTGCAGCTTTGGATTTTACCACACCTCGGTTGTTTCTTGTGGTCAATCCCACTGCAAAGCTAGATAATAATGTACAGTTAGTTTTGTACGGAACCCCGTAATTTCTTTGCCAGTCGGATGAACAAGTGTAACTAACGATACGACGATGGCAAGCTGAAGAACGAGAATAAACAGCGTTACCGAATTACGACAGATTACAACCGCGTGATTCTTTGTGATATAAAACAAAATGTTGCACGCTATCCAATTTCCACATGATAAAGGTAATAGCAGTAAAACGCATTGACGCGAAGTCCATAACGGCCAGTTACAATAATTTTTATAATTACAGATCACCGAGTGTTCATAACATTAAGCAACAGCCTAATTTGCCGTGAGGTTTCTGAACGCGCTATTTGACGTTGACGATGATTCACTGTAATCTACGATTTCACCGAGAAACTTGCGAATTATGTCAAAATATTTGAATACTTGTATGATTCAAAAAAAATCTCTCAGACATTCTTTTTTTATAAACAAATGTTGTGTGACTCCGTGTGTGTGTACACAAATGCTATCCTTAGACACGTTGTATGAATCTAATTATGAATTGAGAAAATTCATACACGGGTAGGATTTGAGGTTTTCACGACGGTGAGTCTGAAGATGGCTGTCTTCAGGGTTGTTGCGCTGTGTAGTATGGTCGATGTTTCCCAACGTTTCAGAGGTCATACTGCCTCCGTCATCAGGGCGATGAGTATGAAGATGACTGTCTTCTGGCTTGTTGCGCTGTGTAGTATGGTCGATGTTTCCCAACGTTTCAGAGGTCATACTGCCTCCGTCATCAGGGCGATGAGTATGAAGATGACTGTCTTCTGGCTTGTTGCGCTGTGTAGTATGGTCGATGTTTCCCAACGTTTCAGAGGTCATACTGCCTCCGTCATCAGGGCGATGAGTATGAAGATGACTGTCTTCTGGCTTGTTGCGCTGTGTAGTATGGTCGATGTTTCCCAACGTTTCAGAGGTCATATGAATCTAATTATGAATTGAGAAAATTCATACACGGGTAGGATTTGAGGTTTTCACGACGTTGGTAAACTTCTGCCAGACTACACGGCGCAACAACCTAGAAGACAGTCATCTTCATGTACACACAGCGTTACAATTCTGACTCTCTCTGTCAAGGCCTGAATTCAGATAACTAACACAGCATTAAAATCTTTTAATTATCTTGAAGATTTACGGAAAAAATGTCTGGACATAGTTCATTATGTAACAGTTACAAAAGTAATAGGAATATTATCGCAACCAAGTTCAGTTCTAGGATAAACAAATACTTTAGTAGAACATAGTGAAGGTTAACGGAACCTGCGTTTTGAGTAGACTAAGGTACAGGGAGGGCATGACAGCCTTGAGTAAGCAGGAAGGTACGTCAGCAGGCCACGGTCACATCCCGTCCTGGGTCTAGCATAGCGCAATGAACTTCAATTGAGTGCTTTCTTTTTTAGTTATTCTTATTCTTTTTAGACTTTCAGCTTATGAGAAGTTGGAAGGAATAATAAAGTCCATGGAGCAGAGTTACTGACGTAATGAATAAGTAGTCGCGAACAGCCGAAAATGGACGATCCTCTAGCTTTGGGGTTGGGCATGTCACGAAATATCACGCAGGGCTCCGTGAGTAAGAAAATGATTAAAATTCAAAACGTAAAATTTATTCTACTGAAAATTTATTTCTGTCTACGAATGTACAAATAATGGACACGGACATACGTGTTTGGTTTGATACTACGTCGCTTAAAAATGCTGTTTCAGCTGAAGAGGTTAAACAGAATGAAATGAGAGGATAATTATACAGGTGTCTCTAAGTTATGAGTAATCATCTACAGGACAACTACAGCACGCCAGTATGAGTCACGAGTTGGCCCGGAAATACTTCTGTAAAACGTTACAGGGGATAAACGTTCACGGGAAGAATATTCCAACATCTCCGAAATGCGAAATGCTTGACTTGTCGAGACATTACTACAAGCGCTCGATGGAGGATACTTGGCTCTACTCCAATTTTCAGGTGTAGATTAACTACAAAATGCAGTCAATTAATTGTTTTCAAAAACAGAAATGTGAAAAGAAAGTATGATGAAAGTGATCTCACATAAAAAAAAATCCGTTCACTGGCAGAAGCATGTTCAGTCTAATGAAATAAACCTTCTCTTCACTTCCCTTGAGAATCATCGCACATTCCCCGGATGAGTAAAATGTTAGCGAAAGTTCCGATGCGTGACCTACATAAGGTGGTTTACAAGACCACACGAGTGTGTAGTGTTCACGTATAAAGACGTAGCATGTCGGAAATCCCGTTAATTCCTCGCGTGCTTAGTATATAATGACGTAACACAGGCCTATTAGTACAGTAATTTTATTACTCGTACCATTAAAGTTGCCAGGTTTAGAAGCCTATATAACTAATTACACTAACTTCACGGAACAGGGAAGATGATAATCGTTCAGCTGGTCAAGTAATTCCCCGTTTAAGGTCATGACGATATCCAAATGAGTCCGCCAGCTGAATTACGCACAAATCCTATTCCTCGGTATCCATTGTCTCGTAATGTGAAGACTATGGAAACAGGAAAGATACCTGAAACGTCGGCAAGACAGGAAGGAATGAAAGAGAAAAAGATACAAACATGAAAATAATAAACCAAACATACAACATTCCTTTCTCGAGATAATGACCTTAACATAAAAAAGTAAACTTCATAAGTACTTGTATGTTATATTACGTGTATTTAACAAACCTGATTAATATATGAATC